ATAGCTGCGCGCCAGCAGCGCGCTGCCCAAGCGTTGAGTGTGGGGCATGTGGAAGCAGAGCCCGAGGCGATGGCGGAGGAGGAAGATGTGTTGTCTGAGCCACCTGCAGCACGGCTCGAGGAAGAAGAATCGATCGGGCCAGAGTCCGCCTTGGATGTAACTTCAGCATCGAACGTTGACACAGTCGCGTCCCCAGGACCAGGTGCCGTTGCGGCGCAGTCGAGCAGAAGCACTCCACGTGCCCAGGACACGGCTGCGGTGGCGACAAATGCAGGGCCAATGACGGATGCTGCTGTGCCACGGATACAGACGAGTGATGCTTGGATTGGTGAGGCAGATACAGCATCCATGTCGGTGCCAGCTTCACCCATGGTCTCTGATGCTAATGACGAGGCGCCTTTACAGCAAGAGGCGCGTGGCCCGGTGCAAACCACGATGGCAGAGGACGAGAGCACGCCACAGCCAGTCATGCAGTCAGCAGCACAGCCAACCCCCACGAAACACGCGCCAACCCCGTCGGCCTCGATCATTTGCGTGCCAGTACCATCGGCCTCGGGTTCAACCTCCTCTCCGACGCGATCGGCTGCAAGCTCAGCCTCGGGTACACTGCGGCGTAAGCGAGTGCCGCTGGCAGCTGAAAGTACATGTACCCCTGGGTCTGACGATCATAACAACGTTGGCAACAGCATCGCTACCAGCCCTGCTCCCTCAACATCCAAGCGAACGGCATCGGATGTCACGTGCACAGGTGCTGCTTCTTTAACAGCGGCGCAAGCAGCAGAGTCGCGTCTTCCCGCAGCAAAACGAGCAGCATCGAGTGATGCGCGCACCGCCACCGTTGCCGCTACTGCTACCACTCGCTCTGAAGCCACGGTATCTGCTGCAGCTACGCCACCGAATCGGCACAACGTCGCGCCAATATTTCGGTCGAAATCGGGGACCAAAAAAAAATATCTGATGAACTACGCGGCGGCTGACAAGTTTATTGGCGTTCTGAAGTTGATGGATGATTACTGCATGCGATGTACCATTCGACAGGCGAAACCCGTGCTGAAGGCTGGGCATCAATGCGTATCTAATCGTGTTTGTGAGCGGTGTCACTTCAAAGGACATGAAGCAAGCAAATGTTTCGTGGGCTTCGCATACCCCGACAGAGCCTGTTGCTACGCTTGTGGAATGCCAAAGGGGATTCGTGGATGTAAAACATGGGATCACCTTTGCAGGCAGTCTCAAGGACTGGATTCGGGCCTGAGCTGTCTCCTCCTTTATTCGGACTGTCATTCGGGGCTGCGCGACCTGTCCCAGCGGATGGGCTACAACTTGAGGGAAAGGACATTGAAGGATATAAAAACGCGCGACTTGTTTGTCAAGTGGCTGTACTCGTCCGGTCCTTGTCCATTTCCAGGGGATGGGCATTGGCGTCTTGTGGAATTTGTGTTTGAAAGTGCGAGGGTCCTGCTTCCCTGTGCGGCGGAAGCCCAAGTCGGCCCCCTCGACAGTTTTTGTCAGGCTCCAGCACGTCTGGAGGCCGTCTTTGGGTTGCGAGGAAGCGCGTAGGTTTGAGGAAGCGTTTTGAGAGAGGTTTGAGAGACGTCCGTCGGAGCGGAGCGAAAGCTTTGGTGGTGTCTTGAGGTCAATTGAACCAGCTGCGGTCGGCAAGCATTCACAGTGACCAGACCAGGTGCACCGTTAGAATAGCTGTAGAGTCGCTCAATCCCGAGGATAGGGAAAGTGCAAGAGAGCAGAGCACACAGGAGAGCAAGGGGAAGACAGAATGGCAGAGGGCTTGACGTACCTGCGGTCGGCAAGCATTCACAGTGACCAGACCAGGTGCACCGTTAGAATAGCTGTAGAGTCGCTCAATCCCGAGGATAGGGAAAGTGCAACTCGTGCCCGACCGCAGGTGTCACAACAAAGGGAAACAACAGTAGCCACAAGCTTATTGCCCCAGGGCAGCTGCCCAGGCATCGTGNGGACCGCGTCACACGCGGTGTTTACTCATGTGACTGCCACGAGGAGGATCAAGCCCAGGGGGTCCAAAAGTAGGTGTCAATGTGTGAGGTCGTCGTAG